GAAAAAAAAAGTGTAATATTTGAAACTTCCATCTTCACAATGTGCAAAGCGGTAACTGGTTAGGAAAAAACCCACAATGATTTTAAAAGTATATTGATATGTTTTGAATTTCTAATATGTTGGAAGCATCATATTTTGTGAATTGACAGCTAGCCATTTTGGTCAAATTCATAGATCTTCTCATCCTTTTGCCTGTGTACCTTTTTTTTCGCTCTCCAACATTGCCTGTTTTCACAGCTCTCAGGACAGACATCAATTTTGAAGGTGCTCGTAACATTTGATATGCTCAAAAACGTAAATTGTTTTTAAAAATTTGGCCTGTAAATGAGTGGCTTACTTGATATGTGGTGTCGTCTTAAGTATACTTTTGCAGACAGTGACTACAATGCTAAGAATTATCATTATAGTTTAATACTAAATGTGTATTTTGTGTTATCTTTCTTCTTTATTAGTTCTTATTGCAATTGCAGCTAAGTTTTCTAAGCTTTTTTCTGGAAATGTGATAATTTCTGAATGTATACCTACTTCCATTGAATGTCTTTGCATCAAAAGGAGCACAAAGCTTTCTTAGAGCATTTAAATTCAGGCAGTATTTCACAAGGTAGGATAGGTTGTTCCTTTCCATTGAAGTTAAAGGTAGATGACTTGGACAGGTGAAGTTACCAAAATGCGACGTCTCATGTTATTATTGCAAAGTCCAACTTGCTGCAAAATTATCATTCAATTGCTATTACTATACATATTATATTGTACAATGTGTTATTAAATAATATGTCAAAGTAATATATTTACAGGCTGCTTTTGTATGAAAGTTGCCTCTGATTAACTTTTTCAGACTTAATGTATGTACATGATGATACTACACAATGCCACATGGTAAGATATTTCTGGAATATAAAATACTACAAAATGTTCATAAGATGTGCATCATCTGATGAATGAAGGAAGATACATTTAAGGGCAGGAAAAATGTCTATCACTGACAAGACCAAAAAATGGTGTAATATTTTATTCTCTTCTCTCTCTTTTTTTTTTTTTTTTTTTTTAGACCCAAGCTGTGAACCAAACTGAAATGTTTGAATGTTGAACATTGCAATTTGGTTATGTTGTATTAAAATCAATTAAATATCTTATTACTTGGTATATAGGATAGTGAAATGTCCTTCAAAAGGAATGTATTTGTCCTTATAAGTAAAAGTTTTGTAAACTTGGTTATATTTTTAGTACTGAGAATTTACATTTAACCTAGTTAGCTATAATAATAAGGTTTAAAACTACTTTTTGACTGGACTACATTCATACTCTGGAAATGTGAGATTATTTTATTGTTAAAGGCAATTTCCAAATTGCACGATAATTTTCATTTTAAAAAAGGGCTTTCCATGGAGTTGGGCAAATAAACATTTTGTCCTGTTAGCTCTTGAGAAAGTCAGATGCTGTGAGTTTTAGGTTATCCTTTCATCAAGTACCTGTAGTGACTTTATAACAGCTGGAGTTGAAATTCATCAAATGGGTGTTTGCACTAATATATGTAATCCTATAAACTATAAAGACACACCCAAATGTGGCATGGCAAAGAACTGTCTGAACAAAACATTTGATGAAACTTGGAGGCGTTTATTTGTCAGTCTCCTATTGTAGTGGTTGCATCCAAAAGGCACAGAAATATCAATTTAAAATAGACAAATATATTGTCTAACTTTGTCACTCTTTTTAATATATTACTGTTGTTTGTGGTCACATGGCACATGGTACAAAAACATAAAATGCAAAAATGTATTTTTTAACCTTTAAAATAATGAGCTATCTTTTGTGAAGACAGCCCTATCAAGAGCCTTTCAGCCTGATTCACAGCTTACTGAAAGCTTACTTTTTTCAGTGAGCTTTGAATCAGATTTTTTTTTAAGTGTTTAAGATCATTGCATGTTGTTTCATTTGGTCTATTGAAATGCTTTTATATGTGGCTGTGTAAATTTAGGGGTGGGAGAGAGTGCTATAAGATCTAAAAGTGGAAAATCTACTTGCCCTTTTTGGCACATGAAACTGATAAATAAATAAATAGAATGGTAATATACTTTGCTTTACAAAGATGCAAATGTAAGTGCATAAATAGAATTTTGTAAACCTCCTGCAATGCCATTGTTTTTGTAAATTACTCGCCTTTATATAAAATTTTCTGTTTCTGCAATAATTTCTTGCCATTAAACATTGAAATGTTTTATATCTGTCTTCCAAAACATAATCTACCATTGCTCAAGTATTTATGGATTTCTTAATGGTATTAACAATATCAGTTTTTATAATCTTACTCCTAACTGTAAATATATCTAAAAAATGACACGCAAAGATTTTATTTCTTTTCAGAAATGCATTATTCTATGAGAGATTGATCCTGTTGTATGCTTTTTTTTTTCTTTTTAATTCTGCTTCAGAAGAGCAAATAGATGAAAAGAGAGAGAAACGCTAGCTAATCTAAATTGGGAAATGAAGAGGGCTTTTTTAAGCATGAAAATTTCATCATCTTGTCAGCTGGCAGAATGCCTGCTGTGTGGATTCACAAAGGCTAAGAATTACACTTTCATGAAATTTTCCTCACTAACTGCCCTGGTTAATTTGAAAGATAACCCACTGTTCTAATTCATTCCTCAATTGGGCGGTGCAGGTTTTGTCTTTGATCTGACAAAGCATTTGTGTTAATCGTTTTGGCCCTCTACTAGACACTCTTGGGATTGTGCTTTTACAATAAATGTGTCTGTGATAGCTCTTTAGTCTATTATACTTACAATAGATCCATAGAACTGGTAATTAGTTCTGTACTGCTTTGGAAATGGGGAAGAATAGGTGTAGCTCTGTCAAGTGCTGCTGGGAAGTTTGTTTAGCTAGTTCATTTTTGAAGTGTTACCCTCAGCCATCAATGAAACATCCATGGTAGGGAATGGGTGAAGGCTGAAATATGCAAGCAGAAATGGAAAAACTGACCAACTTTTGTGCATAAGGAGGATGTAATTTCGTTTATAGCAAGTGCATCTAATTATTATGATGGAAACTGTTTTGTATTTCCCACTAGAATATTCAAATGCTCGTTTTTGAGCTCTGAGTAAATAAATGCTAGCTCTTAGATCCCCCTTTAAAAAGCCCTGTAAAAATCAGTATTCATGTCCATAAAATGAAGCCCACATCTTACTCAGCTGTTGAGGCGTTAGTTTTGCCAACTGAAAATAACTGAATAAAAAACCCCGACATATACTGCATATGCCATTTGAGAAATAGCAAAATTCATTCTGAACTGGTTGGACTGGGAATCTGTTGTCCCTGAAGCATCAGTTTTTTTAATCTTGTTTTTAAATATACAGCTGTGGTGTTATTAGTAGTATATTTATGGGCTAAAACGTGTTTTTATATGCTGTCTAGTTAATAGTGTATGGCATCTTTAAATCTTTTCATGTTTTTCAAAATGTGTAAAATGATGCAAACCTTAAAAGGGTTTTAAAACATATTGAAATCTAGGTTCAACTTGTATTGCACTGGTTTTATTTTACGGTCTTTTTCTACTGGACCACTGTAATCCATAGGCAGAAGTGAGTTTGAAGGCTATTGAACACTGCTAAATAACTTTATACTGTTCATCTGCGAAAATTCAGTGTTCAATAGCCCTCAAAATTTCTCATTTCTTACCTGTGGTGGGGTGGTCTACTGCTTGCGCGTTAGGTCGCAGTACAAAAGCATGTTGCTACACTTTTCAAGATCTCTGAATTATTACTTTATATATATATTGCTGTTCTGTTTATTGTATATGTAGTCTTGTGTTTTGCATTAGTATTTTGCACACTTAAAAAGGTAAAAGATTTATAAACAAGATAATATTGTAAGAGGCAATAGCATTCACACAGGTTTTGACATGGCATATTCGCTTAAGAGAACAAAGATGACAGGCCCCATTGTGAACCTGGAATCTCCCACACTGCAATCAAGTGTATTGCCAACAACCCACAGGTGTACACCACATGAACAGGTGAAAATAGGATTGTAGATGATAGTGATGACTTGTGTAATCATATTCTCTCAACAGTCATGTATTGAAAGCTTTGGTGGGTGGGTAGGGGTAAGAAGTTTGTTTGGCACGAGGGAAAGGTGCTTAGTAGTGGCAATAGTACAATATTTTATTGTTGTGCTAATAGTACGAGAGATACATAGGTGTGTGATGAAGAGTAGGTAGGGCCAGAAACTAGAAGAAATTGTGACACGAGCAGATGTAGTAGGCACAATCAGATAGCTAGACTCTGACATCAGATTAACTCCAGTGATTATTTTGAGTCTTTCCTGTTTATATGGAAATAGGTTTCTGAGTCTTTTCCAAGTTTGAAATGGTATCACTGT